ATTGGATTAGGAGCTGGTCACTTATCTGATGATGGGGGCAGCTAGTACAAAGTCTCTTGAAACGCTCCCAATATTCATACAAACTTTCCCTTTCCAGCTGCCTAATACCACATATTTCCTTTCTTATTGAGGCAGCTCTTGAGGCAGGGAAAAATTTTTCCAGGAACAATCTCTTGAGGGTGTCCCAACTTGTAATAGAGCCAGGTGGAAGATAATACAACCAGTTTTTAACCAAATCCATAAGAGAGAATGGAAATGCCTTCAATTTGACATGCTCCTCCGGAACACCTTGAGGTCTCATGATGGAACATACAATGTGAAACTCCTTCAAGTGTTTGTGAAGGTCTTCACCTGCAAAATCATGGAATTTAGGTAGAAGGTGAATTAATCCAGTTTTCAAAACAAAAGGGGCGTCTACATCTGGATATTGGATGCATAATGTTTGGTATGTGACATTCAGTGCAGCTAGCTCCTTAAGAGTCCTCTCATCACTTGCCATTGCTCCAAAACTAGAGTCAAGTGAAAATGTAAAAGAGTAAACAGAAATTGGTGTCACTGATTGCAAAGATGCAGTAGGAGATGATGATGGTTCAGAGTGTTCAGAGTGATCCCTATGTGTCCTAATGTTCCTATGAAAAGTCCTATCAATCTCCTGGTCTAATGGTTACAAATCCCCACGGTTTGATCGGGTCATGCACTAAATATCAACTAACTAAATTGAAAGCAAATTGAGTAAATGAAATAACAAGAACAATTTAAAATCTCTCTGCAGAATTATGCAGCAAAAATGCAGAAAAACAGAGTAATATGCAGCAAAATGAGTGCAGAAAATTGAAAGTGAGTAATTAAAAAATTGCGGCACTTGAATGAAGAAACTGATGTAGAAAATCTTGCAACAACAATGCAGAAACAGATCACAAAATTCGTATGACTTTCAACACAACACAAAAACTCAAAATGAAACAAACACACTAACATGAAGAACACAAAAACAGAGCACTAATCATATCCAACATAAGTTCAGCACCAAAAATTCCCCGGCAACGGCGCCAATTTGATGAAATAAATTTAGCTACTCGTCATGCAAACGATTGTCGTTAATCCTCATCAAATATGCAAAGAAATAAATGGAGTATTAGGGTGTTATCCTAGGTCGTCTCCAAGGAATTTTTGGTTGGGAACATACATCGAACAAGTGTAACCATGGATTTTAAAGCAAGTAAATTGGGGGGAGGTTTGTCAATTTCCAAATTTAAATCAAGAACGAAATGTGAATTAATGAAATTCAATCAATTAAAATGAGTAATCCCTAGTCAAGCAATGAGTTCCATCATTATTCTTTCAAATGATTCAATAATCCTCTTTCTTTCCCTTGAATTAAGTTAATGTAACAAGCGAAAACTAACTTTAACATCCCAATTAAAATTAAGCATCTTAATGGGCTCCAATCTCTATCCCTAAGATTAAGCAACCTCAAGGATTAATCAAAATTAAGCAATTTTGAATTAGAATTTCGTTAGGTACATTAGGGTTCATTAAGCAATGTTCCCTTCATGCAAATTCCATTTCATTCAGAGATTGGGGTTAATAAATTCAAGGAAAGAAAGATTTGTATTGCAATTAATCCCAAGAATTCAAGATTCATGTGCATTGACTAGGAATTACAAGAAAGTTTAGCCCTCCATGTGGATGGGCTTCACAAATGAAAGAAAGAAATGCAAGAACGTAAGTAGCATTAATGTAAATTCAACAAAAATCAAAAGGAAAATTAGAAATTAAAACCTATAGAGGACCCTTGGCTGTCACCCAAGACTCCAATGTTCTGGAAAATTGTCTCAATTTGGCAAAGAAAAAATGTGTAAAGTGTAAAAGTCCCGTACCCTAATTCCTAAAATCTATTTATAGTGGATAACATGTCAGCAAAGTGTCCACTTTTGCCTTTGAAAGTGTCCACTTTGGGCCTTGAAAGTGTCCACGCGCAATTCTCGTAAGTTTGTCAATTCTCGGGAGTTGCCATTATTGGACTTAAAAGTGGGAACTTTGGATGCGCGTAGCCACTTTGAAAGGCAATAGTGGCCACGCGCAACATGCTTCAGAGAGTGGCGTCCTGGGCTTCCTGGAGTTGCTACTATTGGACTTGAAAGTGGGAACTTTGGATGCGTGTAGCCACTATGAAAGGCAATAGTGGCCACGCGCAAAATGCTTCCAAATTGGCGTCCCTGGAGCTCTCTAGAGTTGCCACTTTTGGACCTGAAAGTGGCTACTTTGGAACCTTTAATGCCCAGACTTGCTGTAGTTGCCACTTTTGCTCCTAAAAGTGGCTACTTTGGAGGCAACTTTCATCCAAGGGTCAAGATATCTCAGAATTAACTTAGGGACTCTGCAAAATTATCAAGATAATTAAAATTGCAATCTATATCTATGTAATTAAATGCAAATTAACCAAAAATTAATAAACCTATGATATTTACTCAAAATGTGATTTCTATATTATTTGCACTATCTAAGTCCATTTTTTCTATCAAGGAGCACCAAAAAGGCAAGTAAAAATATAATAAAAAGTGGATTCATCAAGAGTCCATCACTTCAGAAAAAGATTCAATTTCTTTTAGAGTTTATTCAGTCTTCTATTTATTCTGACCTTTCAAATATATTTTAGAATAGAAAGAAACATATTGTTAATTTTCCTTATGAATCAAAGTCAGATTTTAAAGAAAATCAAGTTCCCACTAATAATTGGGTCTCGCTTTAGTTATATTGTTAATTTTCCTTATGCCTAACAGATACATACATACTTCAAGCTCATGAGAGCCAACAGCTCCACACCTCTTCTTTCTTCTCCACCAGCTCTTCCTCTACTAATGATGATAACATTGTTTTCGATGATGATCATGCCAAGTACTCTAACAGACATTATTATTTTATGTTTCACATTTGGATGTTTATTTATGGAATTGTAATAATATTTTAATTTATTTTTAAAATAATATTTTGAATTTTGAATTTTGATTTTATAATTTTCTTTATGCTTAGAAATTTTTATTATGATAATTAGGCATAACAAGAAATAGTTATACAAGTAAACAAAAGAAAAAAAAAGTAAAATTGAATATTTTAGTTAGAAAAAGTCTGTAAGTTACAAATGAAAAAAATTCATCTATATTGATTTACTGACAAGAAAATTATGGACAAATTTATTCCATTTGTAAATACAAAATTTGTCGATAACCTTTCAAACATCCATTTGTAATTCACATATTTTTTTTAGGTTTCTTCTTGAATTATCATTAAGCTTATAAGTATTTAATTATATCTAATATTCATTCAACTTGTGCTTTAAAGTAATGATATCCATAATCAAAATATAACAAAAGATTTGTTTATAACTATAATAATTTCAAGTCAAAGAAAATTTTATATATTTTTTTAAAAAATTTTTATTGACAATATAAAATAATATTAACTATTAAAAAAAAATCTCAGTTTGAATAAGTTCAATAACCATATTTATATGTGTGTCATCTATATATATAAATTAATAAATAAATTTTATTAATATTCATTCAATGAATATTATCACATATATATTAATTTATTTAAATTATTAATGTTATATTTGTAATAATAATAATATAACTAAGAAAAATTTAAATTAAATTATAAAAAATATGTTTATAATTTTTATAATCTCTATTATATTAATATATCTTTAATTTTAAAGGATCTTCGTCAAATAAACTATTATATTAAAATAATATATATAGAATAAAGAAAGAAAATTATATTTTATTGTTATAGTCAAAATAAAGTATATAATAAATTAAATCTTGTGCATATATATATATTGTTTCTAACAAAAATAACACACACTAAGTTGGAAGAAGGAAATATAACTATCCATAAAATAAAAGTTTTTTATTTATTAATTACTAGTAATTTTTTATACTATTTAAGTATCATTAAATTAAATCATTTTTTAAAAATAATAGATTAAAAATATATTATATAATTATTTTTATATTTAAAAAGAATAATTTTAAAAATTAAATTAATAATAATTTTAAAATAAAATAATTGTTTAGAAAAAACTACTTTACATGTTGAGAAAAAAACCTAATTACGTGTTTCTGTTTAAAGATATTCTTGTTAAAACAGCATTCATAAAAATACTCTCATTAATTAGTATTTATAATTTATATATAAATTTATTTATTTTAAAGACAATAGTTAAAATAATAAATTAAAAATATAATATTTCACTAAAATTACTCATTATGTGTGTTTCGGTAAAGTCACAGTTTTAACAATAATTATTTATAATACTTAAAGGTAACTAGTTTCATAATTTATGGAATGCACATGTTTTTATTTTAAATAAAATGATAATTTTTAAAAATTATTTTGACTTTAACTCAATAACAAAAAATAGTATGTATATAAATTATAAATATTTAATAAAATTAAATAATTTTAAAATATAAGTTATTTTTAAAAAATTTATCATTTAGATACTTATTTGTTGAAATAATAAATTTTTATTTATAATTTATAATGTAAAATTTGATTAATTAGTTAAAATATTTATATTTTTTTCTTATTTATATTTAATAGAATGTGAAAATTTCATGAAAAAAAAGTATGATTGTTTAGGATTTATTAAATTTTGTTTATTTTTATTGGGAAAACTGTTTGTAATTTTATTTTCTTTCCGTTTTTTAGTTTCTTTGGGCTTTTATGATTTATCGCCTTGATAAAAAAAAATATTCACAGAGACTCATAGCAATTAAATAAATTTTTTTAGTCAAGAATTACCGAATTAGTTTTCTTTTTCTTTTTTTTTTTTATCAATAATTACCTAGTTGTTCAATAAAAAGAATTAAAGAAAAAGGAAATATACTATGGGCTTTAACCCAATTAAGACGAGTCTAGACCCGAGTGAAAGTTGGGTCGGGTCGTTATAAGAAAAAACCCTAACGACAAGAGTCTCAGAAACCCTATTTTTGGTTGAAATAGATACACTTACACAACACATCTGTGAGAGAGAGAGAGAGAGAGGCATAACCTAGCTTCTGTGTGAGCACGACCCAAACCAGAAGCAGCCATGGCCACGGCAAGAACTGTGAAGGACGTTTCACCACACGAGTTCGTCAAGGCTTACTCTGCTCACCTCAAACGATCTGGGAAGGTTTGTTTTTTAATTTTTCTATGCAATGCGGACTGTTTCATTTTGTTGGTGTTTTGCTGATTTTTTTCTGCTTCACTGACTTTTGTTTCTTCGTAAGTCGTCATCATGCCCAAGCGTTGGGATGGATGTTTTTATGTTTGAAACGGAGTCAAAGTTTGCAAGTTGAGCTTCTTTGAGTTGTTGGGTTGCCCCTAATGAAAAATAAGCGTTGAATAAATAAACAAATAAATTGTCAGTGGTGTGGGGAGGGAAGGGTTGTGAGCAATTCAGAAGAAGCATTTGTATATTGACGATAGTTTATAATTATGACTAATTCTCTTAATAAATGGCACTGTGGCTAGGTTTGATCAGTTGTTTGTGACCCTGTGGTGAAATTCTGAAATGTCCGTATTTAATATCTGTTGTAAAGTTATATTAATTTCAAGAATTTTCGTTCTAATTTTTTTATAATTTTAAATTTTGTTATTAACAGATGGAGCTACCAGAGTGGACAGATATTGTGAAGACTGCAACATTTAAAGAATTGGCTCCTTATGATCCTGACTGGTACTATGTTAGAGCCGGTAAGTGTTTTTTTCTTTTTTTTTCCAGTGTATTGCACTGTTACTTGTGTGGAATTTCCTTCTCCTTATGTGTGGACAGAGCAAACATGAAACTTATGAGGATTCCTTTCTGGGTTGTGTCTGTTGAATTTGGTTATATATTTCTGTGCGTCTGCTTAATTCAAGCTTGCTTTCAGCTTCCATGGCTAGAAAGATCTACTTGAGAGGAGGACTTGGTGTTGGTGCATTTCAGAGGATCTATGGTGGGAGCAAGAGGAATGGTAGTCGCCCTCCTCACTTCTGCAAGAGCAGTGGTGCCATTGCTCGCAACATTCTTCAACAGTTGCAGAACATGAACATCATTGAACCTGATACCAAGGGGTAAGGTTCCCTTTACTTTGTTATCCTGCTACAGATGAATCAAGGCATCAATACAAATTGAAAGACATTATTTGTGACTGTGTATATGCGCACGTGCACTAGTGCACTTGTTTGATGCGAGTTCTATATTGTTGTATAGCTTCTATAATTCCTCTTCCTTGTGTTATTTGTCTATATATAGCATAACATTAAGTATCTTCAGTCTCCATATTGTAATATTTTAATGTTGATTTTTCTTTGTCTCAGTGGAAGGAGAATCACTTCCAGTGGCCGCCGGGATCTCGACCAAGTGGCTGGACGGATTGTGGTTGCACCTTGATCTCTAAACTGTCATCAAGGTTTTGGTTTCTTATTGAAGAGACGTGAGACAACAGATTATGGGCAAATTTTGATTTTAGACCGTGTCTTTTATGTATTGGACATGTTTCAATGTTATGTTTCTTTTAATATTTTAGATGATATTGCCACATTTATTTTTCAGAGTTTTTTTGGACCCTTTCATTCTGAACATTCTTGTTCTTCGAGTGTCTTTTAACTATGAAATTAAAATTTTTAGGCTAAATTAGACATATTTATGACACGAAACTTCAAATATTACTTAAGTTACACCATTTCTTTGTTTAGGGACTAAGATGCACGGCATGCGTATGTGACTGTTTCTAATTGTTGGACTTGTTTGGCATCTTAGTTTGGGGATCGGAGAATGGATCGTCGTCTATACCTAGGATTGTATGAAGGCAAATGAGTAATAGCAATCCATTTTATAGATAAGACTGAATAGAAATTTGAGTAAGCATGATATTAATTCTCCATATTACATTAATTTGGTATTTTATTTATTAAAACATTGGAAGGGTAATTTGTCTTTGAAATCGGCAATTGTTATTTGTCTATTACATAGGGTTTCCGAATATAATCTATGACAAGTAAATAGGCAAACGTTTAGTGTATGACAAGAGAATTAAAAAGGAAGTGTTTTGAAGGGAAAAATTTATTATAAATTCATCAACCAGTGTCTTGGAAGATATTGATCAGTATTATTTTGATAATTATTAGCTATTTTAGTCTTAAATTGGTTTTTTAATGATAAGAACTAAATTAACTGTTAACTATATAAGATATTGACTGATTTAGCAATAATAGGGATCAAATTTCAAATTTACTAATGTTAATTTTTAGAATGAAATTTTTTGAATGTTATATTTGAGATTGTATTGATTAATCATGCCAATTTTAGGTATTAAATTAAAGACATTTTATACCCAAAACACTTGAATTAATAACTCGTAATCGTAGCTTGCATATGCATACTTAAATAATTATTTATTATTATCATTGTGTATGTATATTATTACCAAATTTTAGTTTTTAAGATTTGTATTTTAAATAAATGACCATAATTAAAAAAAAATACACTATTTTCATAATAATAAAATTTATTTTTAACTTTTGAACAATTTTCATGTAGATAAAATTATATTTTACGATCTTGTTAATTAATAAAAAAAATATTCAAAACTTGTAAAAATGACAAATTATAAATAAACTAATGAGTTAAGTTCAAGCTTCAAAATTGTTAATAAAATAAAATTCAAATTTTAAATCTTACTCGTTTAATTAAATGAGTTAAGCTTAAGCGTTTTTTTTTTTTACAAGTTAAGCTTGAAATTTAAATATTCAACTCATTTATACTCCTATTTTGTATTATTCTTTGCACCGGTAAAATTATCCTAAACCCGCGGTCCTCTCCAGCATTATCAAGGAATGTTGTTGTAGAGTGACTAAATTAAAGATGATTAAAAGAATGGTTGTTGGTGGTGCATAATAAAGGCGCTCTGTCTCACAGTAAGATATGTGTTTTGTGTTTAAAATTTATATTTTTGTTGAGATTTAATATTGTGGTCCCTTCTCATGGGATTAATGCTAACTTGGAAAATTTATTTACTTTAATGGTAATTTTTGTTTGTGTCCTCGTTGGTGATCCCTGAGTGAGATTTTGTTTAATTTGACAGTATTATCAGTAGATGTGTGTGTTAGTTTCTAATCTGTTATCCTTTTGCACATAAAAAATTATTATATAACACTTTCTTTTCGATAATCTAAAATATGTTTTTGTGTTCATGGTATTTTATAGATGGACGAATTGCTAGCATTGATTCTGATCGCAGTGGAAAATTCTTGAAGAGAGAGGATGGGATTCGATAGTGGGGGAGAGATGGGTGTAAGGGATGGTATTGACCATCACAAAATTTGTGTATGGACACGAGGAGCTAGGGAAGTCTAGTGAGTATGTTAGCTTTTGGAGTGTTTTCTGGTATAACCCAAGCATAATCTTGAGAATGGATTACGAAAAGTGTTGATGCTGATGTTAAAGACATGAGTTTGCACATCTACCTTGACCTTGCAGTTGATAATGCATAGCTTTAGGTGTGGTTGAAAATGGGATAGGACATATGGGAGGTGAAAACCATGCTGCTTTAGAAGAAATGAGAATATAGGATGATGCAGGTGTTCCTAAACATCTACTCTACATATTGAGATATGATTTAAGAGTATACTATTTAATCAATTCTGAGATTCATGAACATTTAAACAAATATAAGTTTATATAACTGGGCTTAAGAGTCAATCATTCAGCTATTTTATCCCGTATTAAAGAATTATAATTTATGATTGGTCAAATATTGGAATATGAATACTATTTAATTGTTGAAGTTTAAAATATTATCATGTTTACTCTCACATTGTTTATTTTATGGTGGAGTGAAGTCTTAGAAGGCGTTAGAAATTTAAACTCGAGATTTTGAATTCATTCTATTGACTTTTTAATCATTGTTTATATTATTATAAGAATGAGTTGCATAATTATTATTTTCTTGGTCTAAGGACTAGTTTGCTGAATCATGTAAACATTAGGGACTAAATTGATGATCAATTCGTAATGAAATTTAACACTCAATGGTTGAGACTTTGATTATTGGTATTCAATGAATAGATGACTGTTAAATAAATTGCTCTCTGAATTTAGGGAAACAATTTAGTTCCCATTGTGTTTCAAACAATTTAAATTTAATTCCCAAAACAAATGGACAATTCACTTGATCTCTGAATTTCTCTCCTCTAAAGTTCATTAAAATCTGAAGAGAAGAAGTAAAATTATGGGGGGTCCGGCAGGCTAAGCTTATTGGATTGATGTGCCATAGGTGCCAAAATTCAAAATGCAAAAGGGAAATTTCGATCGTTCAAGTTCAATTTCACACGACTGAGTAAATCAATAGGTAACAACTCACTCAATAGTGCCTAATGGACATCACAAACACACCCTCCAAGGATTTGAACAATCATTTACTTTGGTGTACCCATGAAGACAGATAGGAACCGCACATTTTTCTTATGGGTTCAAAACGCCACAAATCACACCGAAATAACTGGTGGCCGATGATGATAATGTAAGGCACATTTCTTTGTTTTGTCAAGTGAACACCCAAAGGTTCAAATTGGCCAATGCATCCACAATAAAAGCAGAATTAGTCAAGTTCTCATACTCTGTCAACCCCAAAAGAAAAACTCCAGGATACAAGCTAAGTTCTCATTTCAATGATTTTAGGGACTGGGTCTCAAACTTACTGTATAAATCAATTTAATAGTTGAAGCAAAAACGTCTAATTAGATTCTGTTGTTCTGTTCATTGCTGAAGATTATCACATCACATTATTCTCTTGTACAATAAGCTAGCAAGACATTAGAAAGTAAGAAAACATTATTTTATTTTTCTATATATATATATATATATCTTGGATAGTACCCCATTACTCATACAGTCACTTGATTTCAAAAAACAGGTTTCAGTTAAAAAGTGAAGTTGCTACCTATTGGAAGCAAAAATTTTCAGCATTACGGCTTGGATAATAGAAACAGAAAGTTGCACCAAAACAAAAACTAAATATCAGTGCCTAAAGTGCCTCACATTGGTAAAGAGTAGTGAGACACCATACTTATTACAACAGTCTACGGCATCCTTGTCTCTGATACTCCCGCCTGGTTCTGCAATAATACCAATTCCACTTTCACATGCTTCTTCCACGGCATCTTTCCAAGCTGTTTATAAATTAAGATTCCTCCTTGTTAAAATAAAAAGAGAAAAAAGCAATCTATCTCTTTCTATTTCTAATTTGCTGCTTAAATTTGCCAAGATTAGAAAAAGAAAGTCCAGAGATTTAGACCAAGTTAGATAGATGTATTAAAGATAAAGGAAAAATTTTGATTACAGATAAAGACATCAAAGACAAATGAAAAAACTATTTCTATAAACTTTTTAATAATAGATAAGGAACAAATGAAAACATAAAAGGATTAGAAACTCAAGCAAATAATCTAAATTCAGCATATTATCATAGAATTCACGTTAAAAGAAACTCTCAAGGGGATGAACAATGGTAGAGTAGGTGAACCTGATAGTATCTCTATTAAAGTTTAGAAATGTACGAGAGAAGTCAGAGAACAAGAAATTGAGTGGCTTACTAAACACTTTAATGAGCTTTTAAGATCTAAAAATATGTCATATAAGTGGAGGAAAAACACTTTGATTCCTATATATAAGAACAAGTGTGTGTGAAAGGAATAAAACTACAGAAGAAAAAAACTTGAGTCACACTATGAAGTAATAAGAAAAGTTAATTGAGCATAAACTGAGAATAAATTGGGATTCCAGAGAATAAATTTGGTTTTATACCAAAAAAGTCCACAACAGAAGCTATGTACCTCTTATGAAAGTTGATGGAAAAGTACCACCACAAAAAAAAATGATTTCACCTTATTTTCATTTTGTTTCTTAATTTTTGAAATTTGTACAGGAAATAACAAAAAGTTGTTTTCATTGTTTCCTCTACAAATATTTAAAAACAAGAAAACAATATGAAAACTAGTAGCATTTTTGTAATTAAATGTTGAAAACAGAAAACATTTCTTGAAACCAAATGGCCACTTATTTTATACAACAAAAAGGGAGGTCAGCTCCTTACAACAGAGGAAAACCCTCTAGCAAACACAGATCCAGTAGCATAATGATGAAAAGAAAGACACTGAGAGACAGCAATAAGCCATCTCTGCCCATGCCAATGGTCACAGCATCCACATTTATCCTAAAATTCTCCTATCCCCCTCCCTCCAAACATCAGGCTTTCTACCTGCTAGAACTCCCTCCATTTACACACTACCAGCTGTCTGTTTAGTTATGCAATGCGTCCACTAGTCCATTTGGGTCCACTAGTGAATATTCTTCTATCACTTCCTCCTTCATGGCTGTACTTCACTCCTTATTTCTCCTAGGCTAGACTTTAGTTCCAGCGCCTTACAATGTCTCACTAATAGTCTTAAAAAGTATGCATCAAAAAGAATTATTAATTCATGCACCACTAAATGTCTTCTTTATAACACAGCAGACACAAAGAATTCCTGTATTGCAAATATTTTATATGACATTAACACTTACCAAATGGGAAGAAGGCATCACTAGCCAAGGCTGCCCCTTTAACATCATCTCCAGCTTTCCTCATTGCTATTCTTAAACTCTCGCGACGGTTTGGTTGCCCACTTCCCATTCCTAACATACACTTGTTCTGCAAAACAATTATCAACATAAGGGATCAGATTCTTGAACCTATATCATTGACACAGAAAAGTTTCATGACAGGACAGATGACAACCTTAGCTATCACAATAGCATTGCTTTTGACATGCTTAACACACAACCATGCAAACTCTGCATCACGAAGCTCATCATCCTGTGGAGCCTTCTCAGAGACTACGTTGAATGTGATGTCATGTGGGGTTAAGTCATCTGAATCTTGAGCTAACCACCCTCCACCAACTTGCCTGAGTGAAAGCTTTCCTGCTTCATTCTTTTTTGCTTCAAGAATCCTTAAAGTCTTAGACTTTCCACGAAGAATCTCTAGTCCCTTCTCTGTATAGCTGGGTGCAACCACTATTTCATAGAACATCCTTGTCTCCCCATCTGTTGGGCTTCTAAATTCTCGAATTTCTTTGGCAAGTGCCTAAAAAAAATATATAAAAACACATTAAGTATATATATCATTGCTCCTACTTTGTAGCCAAGATGGGACTTTAACGAGTAACATAGGGAAACTCCTTCTATTTTGAAAAACAATAGAATGTGAAATCACAAACTTGAAGCCTAGTCCTTGGCTTAAAATGTGAAATCACAAACTTGGTCTTCCTGCATCACTTGAACAGTACACACAGACATATTTGAATTTTGATAATAATGCAACAATAAGAATCAAGAATTATCCTGGAGTTAATTATTTTGACACTTTGGATGTCCAGATCAAATTGCTTGTCACATTGCACGTTTCCCAGACACATCCAGAAATTGATAACAGATTCCTAACAGACTACAATTTACATAGAATGTTTACCTCATCAATTTCCACATTAAAAGCCACAATTCCACCAAATGCACTCACGGGATCAGCTTTAACAGCTAGTCTATAGGCTTCAAGAATATCTTCACGTGATGCTACCCCACATGGATTAGTATGCTTCACTACTACACATGTGGGGTTCCTAAACTCACATACACAGTTCCAAGCAGCATCAGCATCCAAGTAGTTATTATATGACATCTCCTGCATGAGAATGTTAAGGATGTATCTTAGGGAATTAACTTGCACGAATATTAATAGAAAATTGTACAACTTTTCAGTTAAAAACTGTATTCCACAAACATGATATCATAGTAGTCAATAGCGGCCACTATCGCGGACGAGCGGAGCGATAGGTCACTGCTATAGGGAGCTTGTAGCGTCGCATTTCAGTGGAGCGGCCATCGCGCAGCGAATCGCAGCCAAATCATGGGAAAATCGCAGCCATGGTGGCCGCTATTTTGTCCCCAGCCAAAGCCCGACTTTGCCATCTGTTTCTAAACGGTGGACATCTTTAAATGGTGTAATCTTGGAATTTCTCCCCCCTTTACATTTATGATATCTTCTTCCTTGCTAGCCCTAAGTTTTCATTTTTATCTCTCAGTTCTATCTGATTCATTCTTCCCCATCTTCGTTCTCTGTGACATTCTCTTGCTTCCAGTGTCCTTCATCTCCAGCGAGGCTTCTGACATGACAAAGTCATTCTTGTTATTTTATTCATCTCTGGCGAAGCTTCTAACATGACTTAGTCGTTTTCAAGTCATCTTCATCTTCGGTTGTCTTCTTCAACTCTGACAAAGCTTCCGACGTGATCCAGACATTTCTGGTCATCTTTTTCATCTCTGATAAAACATCAGACAAACCTGCATATTTTCTAGTGATTGACCAATTCTCTGTTTTCCTATTTCCTTATCTGTTTTTTATTTCCTTCTCTGTTTTTTATTTCTCTCTATTTTGGATATTAATTTTATATTAGGTATAATACTTAAAACTTCAGAATACTAGTCATCCCGCTATTCGCTATGCTGCTATAGTGATTTTGAGGTCAGCCGCTCCATGCTGCTATTCGGGATTAACTACTATGCTTGATATAATATCCTTTAACATATGTGAAATACATTTACAGGTAGTTTTAGAACATTAGACAAAAGAAATTAGCAGCTGATTCCCACCTTTCCATGATGTTGGATTGCAGTAGCAATTCCACCTGTGTTAACCTCAGAAAGTCTTTTGTCAACATAGAATGCAGCTTTTTGATGAGGATTTTCACCATAACGGAGAGAACTTTTGAGTGAAAGTGGCACTGTCAAGCTAGGAGGAAATTTATCTGTCATCAAAATGAGAATAAGTCAATCCATTGAGTACACACAAATTAATCATAGCACTTGAAATATTTATATTCAATACCCAGTTATCTACACCATCCAGTACTCAGAGATTTACCGACACTTTTGTTGGTGTTAGTGTAAGTTTCCATATTAGGTCATTCATTTCTCAAACTTCAAAATTAGAAAATATATGAAAATTAGTACACCAATCAATCTGCGGGCTGTAGATTCCACTAAAGGATTATTCTTATAAAATATTTCATTTTCCTGTAACTGACATTTCCATCACACAGGTATACTTGAGTGTGAATTAATAATTCTTCACAAACTTGAAACAGAAGTACCTCCCACACACTGCTTCCACAACCACTCAGATACTGCAGAATCATAGGAAGCAACATGCTGAAAAGCTTTCCATGCAAGCTTTAGCCTGAACTTTTGATCATCCTGGTTTCCTTTAAGAAACTCCAGAAGGGCAGGGTAATCTTCTGTATCAACCACTACCAAAACATCCTTGTGGTTCTGCTCAAATAAGAATTTATCACCTTATATTTAACATATTTCAATTGAAAATTTCAGCTCAAAGACAGTATGCAATGGACAAGGGTCTCTTACTTTCCACAGCAGTAGTTTAGTGGTAAATGGCCATCATAACATTTTGTACCATTTTACAAAAATCTAAGTTTCAATGACAACACAAAGATTTATGTGGGGGAAGGAATCAAGGGGGATTTTTTGTCATTATATCAAATTTATTCAAAGTTTAGAATTTTCAGTGAAATAAACCCACCTTTGCAGCAGCTCTAATCATTGCTGGACCACCAATGTCAATATTTTCAATTCCATCCTCAAATTCAACGCCTCCAACTGATGTAACTTTATCAAAAAATGGGTACAAGTTCACCACCACAACATCAAAAGTACCTGAAAAAGGAAAATTTTTAAGCGAAAGCAATAATTATCAACATCTAACACTGAATGAACATAAAACTCCAAATTCAAATGAATTTGTAGCACCGTGTGCTTGTAGTAACAGAGCTGATAAATAACTTACCAATTCCATGCGTACTAAGTGCTTCAATATGATGTTTTTGGTCCCTTCGAGCAAGGATACCCCCATGTATGCTAGGGTGCAGAGTTTTGACACGACCATCAAGCTGTGGAAGAAAGCCAAAACATTTTAGTTTCTAAGTCTATAAGCTCATACGAAGAAAAGCAAACTTCAATAAAATTGGTGGACATTCTGCCAGAAAATCTACAAGTATGGATTTGCACTCAAAATGCACAGCTTACTGTCTATAAATTTATAATATATTCATACTGTTCTAAGGTGTGAAAATTTATAAGATTATCAAAAAAAGTATAATACCCATCTAAAGTTCACAATGATACCCCAATATTGCAATTGTTTCCTTACGGCTAGATATAAAAGCAACCAGAGCCTGAGAAGCCATGATCCTAATAGTGACTAAAACATTGAACATAAAATAACTACAAATATGGCAATCAACATTCAAGTAAAATTTATTAACATTATGACATACGATACACAATAAAACCTTAGTTTGGTAGGCAAATATCAATGAAAAACCAAAGTCTTCTTAGAATCCAAGAGAAGACAGTACAAGCACAATTTGAATCAGTAATTAAAAAACATGATTAAACCCATAAGAATTCATAAACATAAAGTCAGAAGTTCCCACACACGAATTGGTCATAAGACTTTGAAAAGGAGAACTCAAGCCATGAATCACACCCACCATTTCAGGGAACTGAGTAAGCTGTTCAACTTTAGTAACAGCCACTCCAGCACTCTCCAATGCAGTAGCTGTTCCTCCAGTTGAAACAATAGTATATCTACCATTTAATAGAGGGACTATCATTAATTCTTCATTACACCTGAAGCTGCTTGAAATGCTATAAACTGCTACTTAACAACAATTACAAATAATTGGTAGCAAAAAGTAAAGCATGAATACCATAAACAATAATATTCTAATCTGTAAAAGGCACTAATTAACTATAATAACATACCCTAATTCCTGGAGTCCATTACCAACAAATGCAAGATCCTTCTTGTCGGATAATGATATCAAGGCTTGCTTGCTGCCTGTTTCATGGCAAAAGAACACATGCCAAAAATACTTATTCATCTATTTTAAAGAAAAAATAGAGAAATCATTAAAGGGTAAAGTATGGCCATATTTAAGGTATAAGAATTATCAAAAACACAGGATTGTCTAAAACTACAGAGAAAAAATTCAAACAAAACTAACCAGTTTGTGCATGCAACAGAGAAAAAGCAAATTATTCAAAGCATTTTCATGGTAGAAACTATCAAACCCCATGAAAATCAAGAGTGATTTTCTGAATGTTAGCATACAATATACAATGGATGGAGATTTTGGCAATGGTATTGGCCTCCTAAATCATGCTGCATGGCACTGGCAGTTCTGACAGTCAAAGTACTATAATAGGTGTCAATAATAATATGCTAGCAGCTAGCTGGTAACTTAGGTTGTTCTACAAAACATAAACAATGATGCCCTGCATTGGAACTTAAAAAGTGACCCTTTACAGTTGAAAGGAGTAGAAATTCACTTACACAGTTGATGAGTGCTCAATCTCTAATTCTCTACTCATTTATGTGATGCAAATAACAAAATCAGGAATGTAAGTATATTAAAGTATTAAACAGGTAAAAGAGAGGAGGTGAATTCATTTGGGCATTAATTAATAGAAGAATCAAGAAATTCCCTTATACAGTTGATGTGTTTTCAGTCTCGGCTACTACCCACTTATGTGATGCAAATAACAGGAGCGGAAAAGTAAGTATACTTAACAGGTAAAAGAGCAGAGGAAATGATTCAAATGTGTGCTGAATACAGATTTGTTATTAAAGAGGTGGAAGAAAAAGCAACTTAATTTAAAATTCATATTGATAATTGATAATACAAATTAAACTTTCATTTTAGCATTTGATAGTGTCACAATCTGGCTGTAAGAAACTAATGTATGTTGTAAATGACTTTCTTGCTGACATAATTTTATAGGATAGAAATTCACATCAAATTTAAAGTAAGTCTCAGATATGTACAATTCTCTATATTATTAATCATATCTCAAATAGTCACTAGATCAACAACTGTGATGTTAATTCCTTACTAAGCATCTCTTAACACTAAATGTGAACGCAGCAATGGTATATTAGATAAAGTACAAATTTTATATGCAAATCAATCATAAATAAAAGGTGTCAGACACCAATAGAAGTAGAACAATGGAATTAACATCCTTCTATCTCATCACCCAGTGCAAAACAATGACAAGAGAGTAAAAACTAAAAGATAAATAGTTGAATCACTTCTCTCTGCTGGTCTATAGAGAAATGACAGCACTAAGTACAATTAAGCACTCTGGCTTTAAAATTTAATACGTTGAATAAGGCAAGGGAAAACTTAGAAATTAATCATCAGCAAAACATCCACAAAGAAACAATTATTCTATATACTACTCATCAAGAGAATAATGAATAACTTATACATGAAGTAAAAAAGATAGCAGTGGTAAACCTAAAAGCTCTGCAGAAATCAGAGAGGATTAATCTCTAGTCAACAATTACAAAACCTTATCCCACTAGATGAGGTTGGCTACATGGATCATACAACACCGCAAAACTTGGTCAAAAACTAAATTTTGAGAGATATTCTAATCTTTGAAGGTCAAGCCACAAAAAATCAAAGCAACATTAATAAAGAAATATAAGTACCCTTTGAGATTAAGAGTAACAAATTCATTAATAAGGATAGTTCTGCTATCATAAATTTCCTTCAAGACTGAACCGCATTTGATATTTTGAAAAATGATTTTTTAATTTTTTTTTGGCTTTTGGTGGTAAAATGCCAATCAAACAAAACCCCTACTTAAAATAATAAAAAAAAAGGGATGATAAGAGTGGAAAGTACCAGGAGAAGGGAAAGCAAAGGCAGTTTTTGACACTGATACTGTGTCAGTCTCAGCCATGGCTCTGATGGGAACGCACCTAAAGTGAAGTGAAGATGAACGAACCTGATCACACCCATTTAAAAACCAAAACCATTGATCAACAACAAAGTCTGATATAAGCAAAAAAAGAAAAGAAAAGTAATAGCAGTAGTAACAGTAAACATGAGAGTAAAAGAAGAAGAAGAAGAATACCAAAGTTGTGGGAACGAGATGGGAAGAGAAGTGATGGATAGTTGAGACAGAAGGAGTGTAAAGGGTCCCACAGGGAACGCGAGAGGGGGCGGTGGCAGCGGCGGAAGAAGCACTAAACACAAACATGCTCAGCGAGTTGAGTGTGTTAGTGCGACACAACCAACGAGTTACCTTACAGCACTAAACACTTACGTTTGATTCTTTTTCTTTTAAGAGTTTCGTGCGGTTCAATGGGCACTCCCCTTTATTTTATTATTTGGGTCAACGTTGTAATTGGGCCCAAAGACAAACACAGAGTACAAGGACGTTAGAACAAGCCCACAACGCCATTAAAACGACAGCGAAAGATGAAACGACGATCGAAAAGACAAGGACCATGGAAGATGCCCTACCTAAGCGGCTAAGCCAAACGCAGAGCTTCGCTGATATTTGGCTAGTTCAGGACTCTTGATTATGAATAAGGTCTTCTAAGGTGAATAAAGGGCTATTAATCGATTATTTAACTTAAAATATATGAGGATGATTTTAATTCGTGAATTTTAAAAATATATTTTTTTTATTTTATTATTTTTATAAATCATTTACAATTTTTTTATACTGATGCTTTAATTAATAAGAGTCTAAAATAATTGAAAAAAAAAATTGTTTTATGAGTTACTATGTTTGTTCACCTGTTTGTTAGTTATGAAATTAGGCTATTTGCGCTAGATAGGATTATTACCGAGATTTATCTAAGTTATTTCACTAATAATTCCATTCTAAATAAATTAATGAGTTTTTATGTATTAAAAATTAATAAAAAGCTAATACAAATTTCAATATAATGGCATAATTTTATTAGTTTATCTAAGATATAATTATTTATTTAATGGCATAACTTTGACAAACTTTTTTATGGATGATAAGATAATTTTTTGGAGTATTTAACATAATTATATACCCAAAATTTGAACTTAAGACTATTGATTAAATTAAAAGAATTTCATACCGATTTAAGTAAAATATTTTTTTTATAGTGATGATAAGAAGTCAAATAGATTTATTTTATAAATAAAATACTTAAATTATTTATCTAATATTTAGTAAAGAGGAAAGAAAAAATTACAAAATATGTAAATAATCTAGAATTAAAAATTTAAAAACAGAAGTGTCAAATAAGCTAATTCGTCTATAAGATGAAAGTGATTTTTAGATAAAAGTGTTAAATAAGTTAATTTGTCAACTACTGAATTAATCTCTCAAAAAATATAACATATGAGTGCATCCAAAAAGTTTTACATAAAATGATGAATATTAAGTGGAATAGAACATACTTCAAGATAAACTATTTTTGATTTATTCATAATAAGGTTCATCGCTTCTAAACAATCAAATCACACAATCACGTTATTATAATTTTTCAATATGGTCAAGTAAATACTCCTAAAGATTACTTTTAATTTAGCATAGAGATTGTTAGTCATTTACAATTACAATCTCATATAACACCACCATAACTCATATGATTTATTCTACCACTACCATCTACATTAATTTTATAGTACTTGAAAAGATGGTGGACCTCATGACATCTCTCAAAAAGAGGTGAGTTTAAGGGCTAATTTGTTTTAAATTAGTTGTTAGTAGTCTTTCTTAAACTAACTAATAAAATTCAAAGCATGATAAATTCTTTATTTCTCCTCATCAAAGAGCACATTATTCTTCTAACGCCAAAGTCCCCAAAAAATGGATAAATAAGAAATGCACTTTCTATCTAAGTAGTAGTAGGACCATAGAAATTACAATGGACCAATGATACTCCAAGCGAAATCTATAACACCATAAATTTAATTTCAATAAATAAAAAATTTTACAAATTTTTGAAAAAATAAAATTTCTATTTTAATTCAAGTTTCATCAACCATTTCAAATAAAGAAAGGGGTTACAAATTGTATCAAACAGTTGCTACAGGACTTATTCTAATACAACAGTTTCCAAAATAATATCCTAAGTCCTAAAGCAGTTCCATCCACCCCTTCACTAAGTCTGGTGCTGATCGTCTTGACTACCTAAAAAATGAATGTAAGGGTGAGTACTCTACACTACCCAAAACACACAGTTAACATAGAGTTTCACCTCTAGCACATTTTCAATACATTAGACAAATACAATCACAGGCAATATTTCACATCCATAAGTACAATATGCAACTCATGCATACGCACATCAACCACACTCACTGTGACACTATGATAACATATTTTCACCATGAATAGTTGGCAGTTACCCCTGCCTCACAGATACCACTTGGGCAGTCACAGGTCGCTCAGAAAAGATAGTGGTCAGAGGTCTAGTCAGGAAGAGAGTGTGTGGCCCGTGGTGCACCTGTTCCACAGTCGGTGTCACCACCACTCTCTCCTCCCCAAGGTATTTCTACCGTCCTCATCCCCACACCCCCAGTGTATCGTTGAACCATTCACAGCATATTACAACGGCACTAACACGCTCCATTCACACATTTCATTCACACACGCAATATTTATGCTTGCACACGGCACACAGGCTATATTCAATTCACATCACACGGTACATAACCCATATTCATCTACATTACACGGCCTTCGGGCCCACATTTGTTCACAATGTTCATTTATTCATTAATTAATGGCATTCCATCACACAATTTCCCCCACGGGGCCTAACTATTCCAGCACACATCACAATGCACATCAATTTCTATCAAACACACTATTTCTACTCCCTATCTCAGCCACATTGTATTAATCAACTGAACACACAAGAATTATAATACATTGAGATAGGGTAGAGTCCCCCTTACCTTGGATTAAAGACTCACACTCGGATTTGACTACGAACGTGCTCCCTACACAGATTGCGGCCTAAAACACATGGAAGAAATCCATGAGAACTCCAAGAAACCGAGAAACAGAGAAATAGGAATGAGAAACGGAACCCTAACCATTAAAACTCACTTCCAAGCGTTCCTCACACGGATTTGACCTTCAATCAAGCTCCCGAATGGCTTTGGAGGCAATTAATTGGTGGAATAGGGCTTCGGGAACGAGAGAATCAAAGGAATTTCAAAGGAAGAGGGAGAAATAACTCTCCCCGAACCCTAACCCCCTTTAAATCCTTTTCTGGTCGTGACACTATCGCTACAGCGAGGGAACCTCGCTGCAGCGACACGCTCTCACACTGCAGCGAAAATATCAGACGAAATTGCACCCTGGTTTCTGCAGAATCTCGCTACAGCGAGACTGCACTCAGAAATGTACCCTAAACTGTCGCTCTCTTGCTACAGCGAGACGTCTCTCGCTACAGCGAGAATGTGACAATTTCAGTCCTTCCTCCCAGAGCCCTTTCGCTACATTAAGAATCTTCTCGCTGCAGCGAGAACAGCCCAGTATCACGCCCTGCATTTAGGCACTTAGTCTATCCAGTCATGCATACACATAAATACACACATCCATGTACTTAATACACATAAACATCATTATCAAATAAATCAACACACAATGAATATATATATATATATATATATATATATATATACACACACACACACAATAATTAATATTATCAAAATTTGGGGCGTTACAACTCTCCTCACCTTTAAGGAATTTCGTCCCTGAAATTCAATCCAACACATACTAGTTACAAGAATAAACCTGGATACAATTCTCTTATTCTACTCTCCGTTTCCCATGTGGCATCTCCTTCATCACTTGAGCTCTATATTACCTTCACCAATGAGATGTCCTTGACCCTCAGCTGCTTAACACGGTGATCTGCAATCCTCACCGGATACACATCATACGACAAGTCTTCTCTTACTTGAACCAGGTCAAGATCAATCACATGGGAAGGATCTGACACATATTGCCTAAGTTGTGACACATGCAATACCAGATGTAGATTCGAGAGGTTCGGAGGCAACGCAATCTGGTATGCAGCAGGACCAATTCTACTTAGCACTTCGAACGGTCCAATGAACTTAGAAGATAGTTTCCAAGACTTCAGAGCTCTCCCCACTCTGGTTATAGGTGAGACCTTCAGAAACACATGGTCAGCCATTTGGAACTCAAACGGCTTCCTCCTTTTATCATAATAACTCTTCTGTCGATCCTGGGCAGCCTTCATCTTATCTCTGATCATTCTGATCGGCTCATTCTGCCTTTGGATCATATCCGGCACACACAGAGTCGTCTCTTCGGTTTCGTACCAACATAACAGAGTTTTGCACCTCTGCCCATACAAGGCCTCAAACAGTGTCATTCCAATGCTAGCATGATAACTATTGTTATACGTAAATTCCACTAGCGACAAGCACTCTTCTCAAGTTTCTTGCTGCTTGAGCACACAAGCCCTCAACAAGTCCTCTAAGGACTGGATGGTCTGCTCAGTCTAACCGTCAGCCTGTGGGTGATAAGCCGAGCTCAGTCTCAACTTAGTCCCCAACGCCCGTTACAAGCTCTCCTAAAACCTCGAGGTAAACCTCGGATCTCTATCTGACATCACACTAGTTGGCACTCCATGCAGCTTGACTATTTCCCGTACATACAACCCTGCGAGTCTTTCCAACTTATACTTCATGTTGATCGGAAGAAAGTGCGCATCCTTGGTTAATCGATCCACTATCACCCAGATGGCATCATGGTTGTTCCTGGTCTTAGGTAACCCAGAAACAAAGTCCATGGAGATGCTATCCCATTTCCACTCAGGGATCTCCAATGGTTGCAACAACCCAGGTGGACATTGGTGCTCTACCTTCGCTTTCTGGCAAGTTAGGTATTTAGCCACATATTCAGCCACATCTCCATGTCATTCCACCAAAAACTCTTATGGAGATTCTAATACATTTTAGTTGCACCAGGGTGAAAACTCATCCTGCTCTTATGCGCCTCCTCTAGTACCATCTGTCTCAGCTCATCCACTTGAGAAATGCACACTCGGTTCCGGAACTTGATCACCCCATTCTCATCACGGTGGAACTCAAGTCTTTTCTCTCATCCTTCTGCCTCATCATGTCTTGTAGGAAGGCATCTCCCTGCTGAGCATCTCGGACGTACACCAAAAATTCGTTGTGAATCGTCGTCGCTCCGAGATATAAACTCCTCGACCTCACCTCCATGGCCAAATTCATGTCCCGAAATTCCTCAATCAACTCCCTTTCCTTCACCATCATTGCTGCCACGTGCAATGACTTTTGGCTCAACGCATCGGCTACCACATTTGCCTTGCCAGGGTGGTAAGACAATGTAAAGTCGTAGTCTTTGATGAATTCTATCCATCTCCTCTGCCGCATATTTAGCTCCTTTTGATCAAATAAATACTTCAAGCTTTGGTGGTCGCTGAACACCTCAAACCTCGCCCCAATAGGTAATGCCTCCATACCTTAAGGGCAAAAACTACCGCGGCTAACTCCAGATCATGTATCAGATAGTTGACTTCATGCGGGCGCAACTGCCTTGAGACATAAGCAACTACTCGTCCATCTTGCATCAAGACATAACCAAGTCCTTGTCCAAATGCATCACAATACACATCAAATTTCTGCTTCGGGTCAGGTAGAGCCAACACCGGCGTCGAAGTCAGTCTTATCTTCAACTTTAAGAAACTAGCTTCACACCCCTTAGTCCACTTGAACTCCTTTTCCTTGCGGGTTAGCTTCGTTAAGGGCAACGCTATCTTAGAAAATCCTTCAATGAATTTCCTATAATAGCCCGCTAATCCCATAAAACTGCACACCTCTGTCACATTTGTTGGCCTTGGCCACTCAGCCACTACTTCCACTTTTGCAGGGTCTACCATGATTCCTTTCTTTGACACTACATGTCCCATAAATTGGATTTTTAACAACCAAAACTCACACTTAGAGAATTTCACATACAACTATCTCTCCCTCAGAATTTGCAAGACAATCCTTAAGTGCTCGACATGCTCTTCTTGAGTCTTTGAATAAATTAGGATGTCATTGATGAACACCACCACAAACTTATCCAAAAACTCGTGGAAGATCCTGTTCATGTAGTCCATGAACACCGCAGGCGCATTGGTCACCCCAAACGGCATCACCAAATACTCGTAGTGACCATACTGCATCCTGAACGACGTTTTAGGTATATCTGCATCCTTCACTCGAATTTAATGGTACCCTGACCTCAAGTTAATCTTTGAGAACACTTCTGCTCCTCTTAATTGGTCCATCAAATCATCGATCCTCGGAAGTGGGTACTTGTTCTTGACTATTACCTTATTCAGCTGCCGGTAATCCACACACATTCTCATGCTTCTATCTTTCTTCTTAACCAAGAGCATTGGTGCTCCCCATGGTGACACACTCGGTCTCACAAACCGTTTCTACAATAGGTCTTCTACTTGCTTCTTGACCTCTGCCAACTCCACTGGTGACATCCTGTAAAGTGCCACGAAAATTGAACTTGCCCCCAGAATGAGGTCAATAGTAAACTCTATTTCCCTCTCAGGCGGTAGCTCAGAAACCTCTTCGGAAAAAACTTCCAAGAAATCACTTACCACTGGAATATACTCTAGCTCCACCACACTTTTGGTTTCTATTGAGAACATAACCATGAAAGCCTTGGTGCTCACCGTGTTCTCCCATGCTCCCTGGCTCATAAGCCTTAGAACCTTGGCCATTGTCGCACCAAAGATCAAGGTCTTCTCCCTACAGTCCAGCAACACATGGTTGGCAACAAGCCAATCCATTCCTAGAATTACATCCAGTTGAGAAAGAGGTAAGCAAATTAAGTCCACCTTAAACTCCCTACGGTGTACCATCATCGCACACCCCAAACACACTCATGACGTCACAACCGGCTTACCCGTAGGGGTAGTCACCACAACATTATACGGCAATTCCGTCACATGCAATTTCAGACTATTCACACAGTCCACAGATATAAAGGAGTGCATAGCACCCGAATCAAATAGCACATCAAGCAATCGACCCTTAATAATGCATTTACCTCAGATCAGCTCTTTTGACTGTGAAGATGCTCAGCTTCTGCCCCGTACTTGACTCTGTACTTCCTTTTGATTTTGGCCTCTGAGTTGCACTTGAACTACCGCTTCTCTTAGCGGCCCAACACTTATTGGCAATGTGCCCCGACTTCCCATAGTTGTTGCAAGTTATCCTCGGCTGTGGGCAGTCTTTCACCATGTGTGGCCCTCCACACCTGAAGCATATGAGCGGTCCTTTGAAAGAACTTAACCCTGAACCACTCCCACTGCTCTTCTCTTGAGATGAACTTCTTGAAGACTGAGAGCTATTTGAACCTAAATACGGCCCCTTTGAGAACCTAGGGGGTCTCTTATCTTGCCTCACTGGGTCGGCTCCCCTAGTGTCCACCGTCTTCCCTTTTGAGTTAGCTTCGAAAATCCTGTTCTTGCTCAACAGAGTGGGCAAGTCTGTCAGTTGAAACACACTGACCGCAGCTCGGATGTCTGGCCTTAATCCATGCTCAAACTGAGCACACAGATCCTCCTCTCCATCACCATGCTGATAATGAGGCCAGTACTTCATCAGCTCTTGGAACTTAGCCACATACTCTCCCACAGTTATACTTCCTTGCTTCAGTTCAAGGAACTCTCTAGCTTTCTGCTTCCTTAGGTCCCGGGGAAAGTAGTTTCCCAGGAATATGGTCTTGAATGTCTCCCACTGGATGTAGTCATCCTCTTGTGGCAGGATCTGACCGACAAACCTCTATTAGTCCTCAGCCTCCCCACATAGCAAGTAGGTGGCATAGGCAACCTTGTTCTCTTCACAGCACCCCATTGCATTGAAGATTTTCTCCACATTAGCCGCCCACCTTTGGGCTCCTTCGGGGTTGAATCCACCCTCAAACTTTGGAGGATCATGCCTAGTGAAGGCAGATAACCCTCTATACTCAGCTGACTCTCCACCTTGATTGTGTACTATGGCTTCCAGAATCTGAGCCATGCGTTTCATGAGGTCATTGGTGTCTCTAGCTCCTCTACCTCTACCTCTACCAGATATATTCAATCTAGCTACAACAAGTAAGCAATCACATTCCAGCACATTAGATCAATTTATACATTATAATTCAGGCAAACAAAACAATTAACACTTATCATAGACGCTTTAGCCCGATACTCTAGTTCGGTTTGGATGAACTATTCTGATACTAAAATTGTAACACCTTAAATTTAATTTCAATAAATAAGAAATTTTGCAAATTTTTGAAATAATAAAATTTCTATTTTAATTCAAGTTTCATCAACTATTTCAAATAAAGAAAGGGGTTACAAATTGTATCAAACAGTTGCTACAGGACTTATTCTAATACAACAATTTTTCAAAATAATATCCTAAGTCCTATAGCAGTTCCATCCATCCCTTCACTAAGTCTAGTGCTGATCGTCTTGATTACCTAAAAAATGAATATAAGGGTGAGTACTCTACACTACCCAAAACACATAGTCAACATAGAGTCTCACCTCTAGCACATTTTCAATACATTAAACAAATACAATCACAGACAACATTTCACATTTATAAGTACAATACACAACTCGTGCATACGCACACCAGTCACACTCACTGTAGCACTGTGATCACAGATTTCCACCATGAATAGTCGTCGGTTACCCTCGCCTCACGAATACCACGTGGGTAGTCACAGGTCGCTCAGCAAAGATAGTGGTCAGAGGTCTAGTCAGGAAGAGAGTGTGTGGCCCGTGGTGCACCTGTTCCACAGTCGGTGTCACCACCACTCTCTCCTCCCCAAGGTATTTCTACCGTCCTCATCCCCACACCCCCAGTGTATCGCTGAACCATTCACAGCGTATTACGACGATGCTAACACGCCCCATTCACACACGCAATATTCATGCTTGCATACGGCACACAGCCTATATTCAATTCATATCACATGGCGCATGGCCCATATTCATTTACATTACACGGCCCTCGGGCCCACATTTGTTCACAATGTTCATTTATTCATCAATTAATGGCATTCCATCACACACAATTTCCCCCACGGGGCCTAACTATTCCAGCACACATCACAATGCACATTAATTTTCATCAAACACACTATTTCTACCCCCCTATCTCAGCCACATTGCATTAATCAACCGAACACATAAGATATATAATACATTGAGATAGGGTAGAGTCCCCCTTACCTTGGATTGAAGACTCACACTCGGATTCGACCACGAACGTGCTCCCTACACAGATTGCGGCCTAAAACACATTGAAGAACTCCATGAGAATTGTAAGAAACCGAGAAACAGAGAAATGGGAATGAGAAATGGAACCCTAACCATTAAAACTCACCTCCAAGCGTTTCTCACATGTATTCGTCCTTCAATCAAGCTCCCGAACGACTTTGGAGGCAATTAATCGGTGAAATAGGGCTTTGGGAACGAGAGGATCAAAGGAATTTCGAAGGAAGAAGGAGAAATAACTCTCCCCGAACTCTAACCCCCTTTAAATCCTTTTCTAGTCGCGACACTCTCGCTACAGCGAAATATTCTCGTTGCAGCGACACGCCCTCACTCTACAGTGAAAATATCAGACAAATTGCATCCTGGTTTCTGCAGAATCTCGCTATTGCGAGACCCTCTTACTACAGCGAGACTGCACCCAGAAATGCACTCCAAACTGTTGCTCTCTTGCTACAATGAGACGTCTCTCGCTACAGCGAGAAGGTGATAGTTTCAGTCCTTCCTCCCAAAGCCCTCTCGCTACATCGAGAATCCTCTCGCTGCAGCGAGAACAGCCCAGTATCACGCCATGCACTTAGGCACTTAGCCCATTTCAGCCCTATCCAGTCATGCATAGACATAAATACACACATCCACGTACTTAATACACATAAACATCATTATCAAATAAATCAACGCATAATGAATATATATATATATATATATATATATATATATATATATATATATACAATAATTAATATTATCAAAATTCGGAGCGTTACAAAATCAAACTTCTTTAAAGTAAAAACAATCTCTAAGACAATGGTTAATGTCTTCAACCTTATGAGAACACTTAAGCTAAGAGTTCAAAGAAGTAAACCTACAATAATAGAGCAAAGTATTAATGAGTAAAGATCCATAATTGATAAGTCAAATGAAAAATATAAATTAATTATTGGCAACTTCCAGATCTAATCAAGATATGAAATTGGTAAAGGGTTAAATCTCAAATTGTTGAGTTAAGCACAAGTCATCTTTGCAGAATAAATATCTTTTATACCTCTCTAATATCAGTGATCTTTCATTTTTTTTATTGTTAGCCAAAGAAGTTGGTGTACATGGTCTTTGATGTGTTGCAAAATATAGATGGCGAGTTGTTCCAATTTCCAAGCACTATGAACAAATAACTCACTAATTATGATATTTGAACAAAATCAACTTTGATAGCAATTGAGTCAAGTCTAATCTAATACCATATTAAAAAAACAAAAGACAAATGAAGCTTAAAATAATCTATCAAAATGCTACAAACTTTTATAATATTTTTTTTTCTAAATAATAGAGTCTTTTGAGTCTAGTTAAATAATCTACAGTAGATTATCTTTCATATATTTAACTTAATTTCATAATTAGAACTTATCATTTAGATTTATCCTACAAAATATATCACACTAACCTATCTATAAGAAATGTGTTAACCATTTGCCAATCACCCAAGTCACCATGTTTTTAGGAGATAATGTTGTCTCAGCATCAAATGAATTATTAGAAAACCTAATAAAATCTTTAACTACCTTATTAATATCATGACAAACATATTAAAATAATTACTAAATTTGTGTGTTATAAATAGGAATAAAAGAAAAGAAGCATAAAAGTTTATTATAGAAAATTTAAAAAGTTTTTTTCTATTATAACTTTAAAGTCTAAACATTTAAAAATAAAACTTTTTAGTGAAATAAACATATTTATTGTATTAAAATTATAACAATATACTTAATGCTTCTTCTTCTTTTATAAGATTGTATTATTATTAGTTGCTTAAATTCAAATTTAACCATTCAAGATAACGTTTTTTATCTTTTCAAAGAAACCTCTTTAGTATAATATAAAATATATTTTTAATTAGGTTATATTTGGATTTATAGAATATAATGAAATGTAAAGTCATGGTATAAAGTGATGTGTGTGGGTAAATATTTAATTTTTTTTTTCATTTGAAGTATGATTGATTGATTTGAAAATTTATTTTTCTTATACTCCAAAATCTTTATCGCTAAGTTTTTTTTTTTCTTGAAATTCTAAAATTAAATTTTCTATAGACATAATTTTTAAAAGAACATATTTATCTTCTTTAAATTTTCATAAGCTGAGGGTTAAAAAAATGTAAAATGATGTTATTATTATAATTTATGAAAATTATTTTGTAGTTTGTGTTGATTAACATGTACATAATATTTTTAATAAAATGTAAATGTTGTATTGATTTCTAAATTAATTTTTTATTCATTTAGAATTAAATATTATATTTAAATTTAATATAATTAATTTAAAATTAAATTGATAATATTTATATAAAATATATAAATTTAAATAATAAGCATATTTTCAAATTAAATTTTTAAAATAATTAATAATTCAACTTAAATACAAAAAAGAAATAGTATCATATTACTGACATTATTATTTGTTTGCGTTAAGTCCTTTTTAGCTAGTAAAAAAAATAATTTTTATATTCTATAAATAATATTATTTATTCTTGTTCTTATGAATGGTTTTAATTTAATTTATATGTTTATAAATAGTTTTTATTTAACGATCATCGTTTGTTAAAGTTATAATACAACAAAGTATAAACATTAAATTGGAGATACATATATTTTTAAATAATATAATAAAATTAATCGAAACTAAAAAGTAGTAAACTTTTTGTGTTAAAGAACATAATTGAAATTTCTAATCATCGAAGTTAAAATTTCTTTTAATATAATGTTATTTAAAAAAAAATAAAAATAAAAGAATTAGTAGAATAATACTATATTAATTTGTTGACATTAACTTATTATAAACAAATTATTTAATTGTAATAATTTTATTAATAATTATTTCAACAATTATTTTTTAGATGAATATATACCTCAGTTTAATAAATTTTATTGATTACCTTTAAGTATTATATTTGTAATATTTAAGTTTAATAATATTATTGTAGTTACATCTTAATCGTCATTTTGATTAACATATAAAAATAATACGTTTATATTTGACAAAACAATTAAAGAACTAATAAGTGAAGTTAACTAATTGAAATGGTGTACTATGGAGTAATTTTTCTACCTACACGTGGTAGACAAAGAGACTTGTAAGAATTTTTTGTTATATGTTTTGATAGGCATGCTTGTATCCAAAATAATTTAAATAATGAAAATTGAAAACCTTTCTATTTAAAAATTCAATCTTTAAACTTATTTTTTTCTGATTATTTTGAATTGTTGAATCAATTTAATCTTAAATTGATATTTAAATAATGTTATCAAATATGTTTTTTAAGTTTTTATGTTAAAAAAATTTCTCTATTTATTCTTCTAATAATACTAAAAATAAAAATTTAGAATCATAAATCGGATCTTCTATTTTCACCAATAAGAATAAAAAAAATTATATTATAATTAATAAAAATAGGCTTTTAAAATAGAAAATAAATTCTATTCCTTTTGTTGAAAGAGTTATTCTTACTCAAACTTGTGTTATGAGTATTGAAAATTATATTATGCAAACTCATCTAATTTGTAACACATTACATTTTCTCTATTTTAAATATATTAATTTTCATAAAATTTTAGAAAGAATAACCAACCTTTCTATTTAACCATTAATCAAATTTACAAAAATAAAACCTTTCATAACAGTAAACTCATATATAAAACAACTTTAAGAAAATTTACTACATGAAATATATTACAAATTAATATCATTATTCAAAATAGATCAAAGTTTACAGCATTTTCTCTTTCTGACATATTGAGGAACTGAAACTAATCATCTATATTATGTCAGCCTTCAATTTCAGCTAAGTCCTCAGTAATTAATTCATCATCCTCTCCAAGATAGACGTCACTAGAATACGCCACCAATTCTACACTAGGGAATCTCTCAAATGTGTAGCTATTAGGTCTTCTTAACAAATCATTATCATGATAAGTGAATACGTTATTCATTATCCGAGAGGGCCTTTCTATTATCCGATATAGATAAAAACTAACAAACTGATGAATTTGACCACTAGTTGAAAAATCGAAAGGAACTGCATAATTATATATTACTTCTAATGTATACTCCTCATCATTTCTAAAATATACTCTAAAATGTAAATATACAATGTCTATATTCCCTAAATACATAATTTAATCTACTACTAGCATGTACATCCACTATATCAATCGCATGGGATAAGTTATCATCTTTACTACTTGGGGTGAACATCTATCCCATTTACAATACAATGCAAAGATATCATAACATTTTCACAACAACAATCATGATTATATAATTAGATGATAATTTATATCACATTACCACACGTTGTATACATCTCATTCATTACACACATTCACGCAACCTCATTAATATTTCC